TCTGAACATGGAACATAATCTGGACACGATGCAGCCTGAACATAAATAACGTTATTTCCGGAACTCATGTTCGTATTTCAATGGTCCTGAAAAAGTTTACGAAAGGCTGTGTATCCTTGTTGCCAGATTGGCACTGATATGGTTTGCTTGCGAAGAGGCCTCAAGGTGATAAGTCTTTAACTCAAATTAGAAAAATTGGTTGTATTAGATATGTATCTACTGATGCTTCAGAAGGCATTACTGAAAGACACTTGAGAATTCAAAACATTTGAACATAATAACAAATTATGAATTTAAAAGACTCAATCTTGGTAATCACATATATTGAAGCCATTGCTATTTGAAAAAATGCCATTGAAAAAGTATAAAGATTGTATTTACTGAGCCACCGCAGCGAATCTCTCAGCAATGCTCCCCTCAATGAGTCGGCTTGCTTTGTTTCATAATCTAAATGAGGTATGGATTTACGAGTTGAATATCGTTAAGTGGTTTTTAGTAGCTCGTAACCTTCGACACGCTTTTTTAACTAGGTGCTTATTTACAATGAGCGCCAATATTATCTACAACAGAAGCCCACATGGTACCGGCTTATTAGGTACTTCAAAGCATGGATGCATGGTCTGGACTTCGTCAAATATGAAACAGGGTTGTACTTAGCGGACAGAAAATCTATATTTTAAGGCGCAATGTTTTTGAAAGTTTGATTTCTGTTTCCATTCACATAATGTAGGCGTTGTTTTGCAGATGAGACTAAAACAAGAAGCAAATCAGTTTTGTGAACATATATTATTATTATTATTGTTATTATTATGTACAAAATAATAGACATGCTCTGCATCTGTCTGACCAAAGACAGCCAACCATGGACAGCTGTTTTGTGCTTCTAAAGTATAACAGCTATACACTATACAAAATCGACCACAGCGAACCAGTGAATAGCAGCTTATTGGTTGGAACTGAATAGATCTCAGTCCGCGAATGGAGGATCAGTCACCACGTGACCGCTAGATGGCGACGAGTCTAGCTGTGTAGAAGATGTGGTCTACTTGCCACCAAAAAAAATAATAAACATGCACTGCTTTCGTCTGTCCGACCAAAGACAGCCAACCATGGACAGCGGCTTCGTGCTTTTTGGTTACTCCGCAGAATGACCTAGAGTTGGGTCTCTCGGACAACGAACGAAAACAGCGACTATACACTATACACCTATGAAAATAACATAAAGGTACATTCTACTTTTCAAATAAACCAATAAATCGAACCCATATTCAAATCTTGTAGACAATCCAAACACATGGTTATAATTTACTGTCCATGGTACCCGGTTTCAAAATGCCTAGTTCGGCTTTTAAGCTGTTAATAAACGCATAATCTACTTTGGAATACTAAAATTGCATGGGTATTAATGTAAGTTTGAAGAATAAGATAGAATACTTTAAAGCAAGCAAGGTAAAATATCCCAGAATAATGATAACAGGCCTAAATTCCAGAACAGATCTACAGCTTTGAAATAAAAGGGTTCGAGCTGTTTGACATTTGACTGCATAGCTGGATAATTTGGTCTTACCGAATATTTGATGCGTAAGTTAAAAAGTAAATTTTCTCCAACATTCGTACTCTCTCGAGGGGGGTTCTAATTTCAATTAATGCATTCAACTTTTAGATTTCTTCAAAAATGCCTAATTATAAATGGATCATTATATCATTGCCCTGCTGGTTTTTGAAAATTAAGCTTTGATGAAGTTTCTGAGACTTCGGTTAAATCTGGCAACGCTGCGTATACTGATGCGGTTCTGCGTCACACGTCGCTACTATTTGTGTTCCGTTCGAAATGACACACTTGATCTCTATATCTTATGATGTTTTGTGTAAGAGAATATTCTGCTATTCTAACATTATATTATAGAATCAATCAATTTAAAAGCGCAATTAAAGGCAATTAGTTTGGATTCTGGAAATTATTAAACAGGAATCGACGGAAAGAACTATAAAAATTATTCTGATGGTGAAATTGCACAAAACTTTATGAATCCAAAACAGAACAATAGATAACGATAACTTGTCGTAAGACTAGACTTCCTAGGCAGTGCTTCCGGCAAACTTAAAAAACAAGTTAATCAACTTCAAATATAACAACGCTTCCCCTCTTCAACACGCATAAAAACCTCAACGGCTCATCTGCCTATTGATCGCCCCTTTTTTAATTACGAAAGAAACGCTCATCACACCGGCTCCAATCCATAAATAACCTAACATCTACAGTGTACGGCCGCCCTTATCAGCGAGCAGCTGGCGAGCTGTCAACCGAGTAGATTAGGGTCAGGCGAGGCGGAGACCGGGGGGCCGAGAGGGGCAAGGGACCGGCAGTAACATCCAGAGGGGTGGGAGGACGATTCGTTTAAATGCAGGGTTGCCAACTCCTACAATAAAAGTACGACATATCGATGCCCAAAATCAAGTAAACCATCAGATAAAGCCCATGATACTATAACGCGATTGAATTTCGTATCCCTTTGCGCATCGCGTCACTCGGTGACAAATGTTCCGCTCGTCTGTATAACATCCATTGTATTAAAGCGTTTTCTTTTGAATGTTTGCCTAACATTTTTTTTGTTTTTACATGATAATTTTAGTATTGTATAGAATGTTTTAATTATGTTCTGTCAAAACAATGTATATAATAGACGTAATGAATACACATCACTTTTTAAAAATTAACAATAGACAAGCTGAACGCTTTTAAATAACTTAAGACTGAATCACCGAATATGCGCTTGTAGCTTTTAAGCTGAAATTACTATATATGAAGAAATAAAGGGACTTTTTATTGGAATAAATTGGTTTCAAATAATTCATTTGTGCGCCAATGGCATACATTAATTTATTATGTTAACTTTTATATAGAAAAATGATGGAGAACAGTTTTTTGTTTTATGGCTAAGTGTCAATAAACGTATATTTTGTATTGGTAAACCGTTTAATTGAGTTTATTTTACAATTTTCATCAATTTTCTTTCCCTAAATACGGATGTTACTTTTATTTCCCTATTGAACATCCGAATTTTGAGTTACATTTTACATAAAAAAATATGCCTGGCATCTGCACTAACACTAGTATAGTAGTAGTAGTAATAGTACTAGTAGATAGCATTGGTGGTGTGGAGGGGAAGCCAGGCAGGCTGTAATACTCCACAAGCCATCTACTGCTAACTGATTATTGAATAAACTAGCTCCTGCATGAGCTGTACATATCGTTAATATTTTAAATAATTTTTGGTCAATTTTAATGACGCTGCGTTGACATTTTTGCAAATACGGTCCAGCTCATTAGATATAGTTAGAAAATCGGGGAATTGTTTAGTGAGTCTTCGCCCTTGGTGTTGTCATCAAATGAAGAGAAGGTATTGCAATACTTTTCAACTTCCATGCATTTTGAGGTAATCCCAAATTTTTTGTCAGCCGCCTTTAGACGTCAGTGTTGCCACGTCTCGGATTGTTGCCGCAGGTTTCGTCATTGAGAAATTCTGAGAATACGAAATCTTATGAATAATTACAAACGTAATTGAGGGTAATCTTTCGATGAATGTCAGAATATGAACGTTAAAAGGAAAATAGAATCTGTCTACCATCCAATTCCGCAACATTACTGTGACGATAGAGCTTGTAAGTGAACGACCATATGGTCGAATTTTGGCAGAGTAATCGAGATACAAACATATGAGCCTTTTATATTTGTTAAATTACATAATTTAATTAGTTGTCAAGTAGTAAAACTACTATCGAGTTTGGCCTATGTCTATACCTTGCTGCGAACAAAGAAGTTACCTATTTGTTTATTTCTCATCACAAATTAACGGATACGAATAGATTAGAAGTAGCCAAGCCTATACGTTTACATTGCATTGTTTGTCGCCACAATTTTAGTGGATACCGTGGGTAATTTATCTACCATTGTCTATCAAATCGACAAAACAATGCAAAAATACTACTACTAATACGGTGTGAATCAGTCGGTTATTGGTAATAAACAGAGCTAAATTAAATAAGGCAAAGAAGCGGAAGTAAATATTTATTGACGGTTAAGCTTATGGACGATTCTGCTTAATTCGTGATTTTGGAAGCAGAACAATAAGAAACATTCTCTCCGTCAAGCATCAATGCATTAATTTTTCTAACTAAATGGGTATCGTGATACGATCATATTCTTGGCGGAAAGCAATGCAATAAAAAGACTTAGAAGTTTTAAATTAATACGATATTCTTATTGTTTTGTACAAGCTTCTTCCATATAGTCTCGTGGGACTAATTACTAAAAACTTTTCGATTCAAAATTAAACTAGGTAAAGTTAAATTACAGTTTAGTTAAGATTAAAGTTACCGTTCGCCCTTTTTTACAGTATCCTTCAAAAAATTTGGTTTGTCTCGAATATTTTGCATTTTTCAATGTTATTGTCAGGTATGCAAGTCTGTTAACAAACCTTAGATTGGAACAAGAGGTGAAATAGCTTGAATCAAAATTACATCACAACTGTCACGGTAAAAGCCTGATGATATACCGATAAAATGATAGGCTCTTATTCAGTTTAAACTCCTTTTTGCAATCCACACATTTTAGGCGAATGTCTGGAACACTAGGATTCTATGGAACCTACGCACTTTTATATGTTTTCGCAAAAAAGTACGAACTGGCAGCTTAAGGCTGATCGTCTTGTAGTATACTGACTACTAACTACGTAAATTTGGTTACAAACAAATCGTATACTTGCTGCTTCTACGTTGCCCAAATTCATTTGTATAAAATGATTTCATTACTTTCTCACTGAATAAATAAATTTCACTTAACCAATAAAATATTTTTTACAGAAAGAAATATAGATTTTAGCGGATATGATTATTCAACATTCAACAATACTATGGAAATTAAAGTGACACGAGATCAAAAACCACAAAATCAACCGAATATTTTCATTCCTGGTAATGCGTCTACTTTAAAGCCGAAGATGAAACTCTTCCGCCAAGTGAAATCAGATTCCGCTAAATCTAGAGGAAACTTAGCCGAGTTGGCAGCACCGTGTGCGTGTCCTAGCAGAGGCTTGGGTTCAACCCCGATCCATTATGGCAGACGCGGCTTAAGCCGGGACAGGGAACAGCACGCCCATCGGGATAACAGAAGACGGCCATGGCTCATGGCCATACTGGATTTGCAATTAATCTAAGGATATCTGTTGTAATGAAGAAGTTGGGTTTAATTTGGAAGTTAGTGGTGTGGATGAGGGACTGATTGGACACTAACCTATAGAGGGTGCAATAGTCTGTAATAAAACAGAATAGAGGAATCTAAAATTTCAGGAAACGTGAAATAAGCTTTCAGATTATATATAAATAGAAAAACTTAGATGAAGGAAAGGATTCACTAATACAGTGCAACCCGCTTATAATGGACTAGACGGGACTGCGACAAATAGTCTACCATCTCAAAAGATACACTTTTTTAATGAAAAAAGCAGCAGAAATAACATAATAAAAGCTTAAAATGTGGTTTAACATGTACTACATAAATAAAGATACATACAAAAAAGTTATACGTAATTTTGTCATTTGCATTTTTTTAGAATCTAATGCACATATTACAGGCATACGTACTGTGTAGGTGTAACAACCGTAAATTATTTGGTAAAAAAGCTAGTAATTTTCATTTGAACTGATTGTTTTTTGTATAATTATTTAGAACAGCAAGTTGAATTTTATTTAATTTGGTAAGTGTGGCTGCACTGTCTTCTTCTTGCTGAAAATATCGTTGCAACTTTTTCAAGCAGTCTAATGCCTCCTTAGTTGTCACTGGAAGTTCTTCTTCATCGTTGTTTTCTAGTTCGTCTTCCTGTTCGCTATCAACGGATCCTTGATTAACCAAATTGGAGTCTGGCAATTCCTGTGTTGCTATTAAATTATTGTCAACATTTACATACTCGTTAAATTTGTCTATATTAAGTAAACTATTAATTTTCAGTAAATCACTGAATGAATTTTCATCTTCTGGATTAAAATCGTAGACTATTTCAGTTATGTTTTTCACTAAGCCAGCATGGCGAAAACAATTTCGAATCGTTTCTGGAGTAACCAATTCCCATGCAATAGTAAACAAATTTATAGCATCTAAACTGGTGACATCTTTGGTGATGTTGACATCTTCTTGAAGCTCCATAATTTTCATAAACATATGTTTCCGATACATTTGTTTAAGACTCCAAATGACACTCTGGTCCATTGGTTGCAGAACTGATGTCACATCAAATAGAAATTCCCAAGAATAACAATAACCTAAACTTAAGATACATAACGTATATAGGACCAAAGATATATAACATTCTGCCAGAACAATTGAAAAAGTTGAAAAATATTAAAACATTTAGCACCAGCTGCAGACAATATATTTTTGAGAATAGTGCACAATTTGAAAGGTTTTTCTAATGATTTTTTGTATTATAGTATGATTGAACTATTGTTCGGGATATTGAGGTTGATTATTGTTTTTTTTATTGAATTTTATAATCCAATAAATAGCATTTTCTTTTCATTTGTAAGTCCGGATGATGAAAGCACATACAGGTGGTTTGAACCATCTAGGTGCATCTTTCTGTCATCAGGATGTCCTTGATGAAGAGGAATTATATTGTTGTGTTATATATTTATGTGTATTTATAATTTTTTGTATATGGTCTTTGTTGGATGTTATCGTTATTAAATAAATAAATAAATAAATAAATTGGGTGGCGAAAATTGAAGGTTGATGTTATTAAGTGAAATATTTGGATGAGCGGGGCAGTTATCGACCAAGAGCAAAATTTTATGATTTTTCTTAACAAGTTCAGTGTCCAATTTTTTAAATATTCTTCAAAAGTTGATGAAGTCATCCAGTCTTTATTATTTCCAACATAATCGACGGGAATTGTTTTAATAGTTTTGAAATACCTGGGATTCATAAACCCTGAAATAAAAAAAGGTGATAAATTCTTTGCAGCACTGCCATTCAACGTCAAAAAAATCAGAACATGCATTTCTATTCATTCACGTACCTATTAGCAATAGTTTCTGTTTTTCAGTACTAGAAGCATTAGCACAAATCAAAACAGTTATTCACTCATTTGATAGTTTCCCTCCATTGCAAGTTTCACCTTTTAATTTATGAGTTTTATCTGGTGGCATTCTATAAAATATCCCGGTTTCATCTGCATTAAATATGTTATCATCTGAATAATCACTGGATATTACGGGCCAAACTTGAGAAATCCGGCCATTGGTAACGTTGTTGTCAACTGAAGCTGACTCACCACACATTGTTCCAAAAACAATGTTATGTCTTTTCTTAAACCTGTCTAGCCAACCGGAACTACATTTGAAGTAATCTCCAATCAATGTCCCAAACTCTGCAGCCTTTATTTGTAGCATAGGGCCACTTATTGGAAAATTATTAGCACGCTTTTGTTGAAACCATTTAAACATATCAAGATGCAGCGATATCTTCTATTTTGCAGTAGAAATGGTAAATGCATACGTGGATCAAAAGAGTACTTTCTACGTTTGTATAGTTTATTCTTAGATCCCAAATCGAGTTGTACGATTTTTTGCACAATCTCTCTCAGGTTTTGAAGAATCAAAGAAGTGTTTTCCGAATTTTAAATTTACCACCAGATTCATCATTATTGCGTATGACGCAGCATCGAGTAGTCCAAAACAACCAGGGCCATTTTTTTTAAGTAAGGATCGTTTTTGAATGGAGATAGAGAAGTTTTATATACGAACGTAAATTGAATCACAAACTTAAATATGAACATTTTTTCTCATTTTTCAACATAGTCACCATGATCGTTTAAACATCTGTCCATTCGTGTCACCAGCTTCTAGATCCCTTCTTCAAAGAAAGCTACCGCCTGATCGATAAACAAGTTAGTAGCTTTCAACATGTCATCATTTTCCAGGGACTTTCCACCAAGAAATTCCTGAAGTTTTGGTAAAAAATAAAAGTATGATGGTGTCAAGCCAGGGCTGTACGTTGGATGGGCCAGTAATTCCCAATGAAACAACAACTTGAGGTTACGCGTTGCCATGAAGGCTACAATGGCAGCAATCGAATCCTCAGTAAAAATTAGTCCTTACAATGTTGTTGACCAGAGAAGGTCGAATCGGTAGGTTGAAAGGAAGTGAACTAGAATTATATTTTCTATAGACTGCAACTGCAACAATCAATAATTACAATGTAGAACATACTATCTTTTGGTAGACGCTCACGAAAACCAAACACGTCACACTCAAAGCACTCATGCTCATGTTTACAAATATTCCGACATCTCAATTAAAAAAAAATTAAAGGCGCATAACTCAGGAACGCACTTAAGGCGAGCGCAAAGCCGGTGCGTTTCGTATACCATCGAAGCTTGAGCTCTAATGGAACCCATAAATCACGCGGGGCTTAAACAAACCATAACAGGGAATGGCAAGTTGCTTACGCGGTTGAGACATCAAAAGAGCGAGCGCAACGACGCCATCTATGGGACAAACTTTTCAATGTCGCAATTGAGCCGTGAACGGTGATGGCCTTTAATCCAGGAGAACTAGGTGTAGCGTAAAAGGGAAGATCAGCGATTTGGAACTCTTTTTTGTTGGGTCATGAGTCAACCACCTCTACACCGATTTTAGAAAACATCAGCATCATCCCAAATTTCATCGAAATAGGTGGAGAGGTTATCGCGATTATAGAATCGATAACAAAAAGTCCCATCAGTAAGGCTGACAGATTGGTATAAATGAGTGACATTAACTTTCGTAACGTAAACATAAGAAACGTCAAAACCTGAAACATTGAAAACTATCACGAGAAACTATAAACATCAAAGACATACAAGTCAATTTTTTAACAGTGTTGTCATTAACTTCGTATTAAAAAGTCTTATTTTTGAAAGTAGGCGTGTTTGCAGATGATTGTGGTTTTACACGATTTCAGGACATGATAATTCTTGCGACATTTGCGAAGAGCGGCACAAGTCTAATGAAGATAGATTTTTCCACCAGTAAGTATTATTATTATGATGTTATCAAATTCGTATTTTTAGAGATATTTTTTGAAAGTGCGAGTGTTTGCATCTCATTGTGGTTTCAGACGATTTCAGGACATGATAAATCTCGCATAATTTGCAAAGAGCGGCACATGCCTAACGAAGGTAGAACTTTCCACCGGCAAGTATTATTATCCTGTTACAGCTTTGTCACTTTAGTAGGAAGGTAATGGTGGTCAAATAAGTCAAAAGTGTGCACTAAAACTATGCAATTTTGGGGACCAACGAAATAATGTAAACATACAGGCTTGGCTGCTTCTAATCTATTCGAATCTGTTGAGTACAAATTTTAGTAGATCCTTCGTTTATTGCCGTGTTTTATATTCTTCCGGGTCGGGTAATTCAAAAAATATATCCACATCACGATTGATACGCAGTACTCATTCTCAAAAATATCAAACGTAATGCTCAAACTGTTAAAGTGAGAAGATGACTTTCTGGGTTATAAACAGAAGTATCTCCGAGTCGTTCTGATTCTGTGCAGCAGATTCTCGTGATATCGGAGCTGGTTTGTGATTGGCTATTAGCGAAATCAAAACGTTTCTTGTAAAACCCGAAAAAGGCTAATATTAGGGGAATCAAATTTTAAATGGGACTTTTTTGTTAGTATTATTACTTACATAAGAAGAAAAAAGACACTTCTCGATATGGCCAATAGTCGTGATTTCTTGGCTTAGTTAATGATATACTTAGTTTGAAAGGTGAACCATTATTAGTCGCCCACTCTTACAACCTATTGTACAAAATTTGACTTATCAGTACTTTATAAATATTACGATACTGACGTTTAAAACTCAAATACTTTGAAGTGAGGGAGTCAGGTGTAAACTTTCTTCTGTCTTCCTAATGCTAACAATGAAAGCCATTTCCTAATATTATGTCAATTATTCAAGTATTTTCGAAGGATACCTACATAGAAAGCTTGTAATACCCTACATTACTCAAACAGTCTTTTTTTACCCAACTTTCTCTGAAGGAGGGTAATGTTTTTCTCATGTAGGTATGAATGTATGAATCCAAAAAATTCAATTTGATGGGCTACAAGACAAACAAAGGGCTTGATCAATTTTGACCTTTGCGGTGTCCTTAGATTCGTCTTGATAGCA